GGGTTAAACTGGACCGTCAACGCCTTGTTGATAAATCAATAATGATGTATAAGATTGTAAATAATATGGTTCCGGACTATCTTAGTTCGTACTTTGTCTTCCGTTCCGATACCTAACCTATCACTTAAGAGATAGTGCCTGTTCGCTTGCTATTCCACAGCCCCGCTCTAATTATTGTAAAAGAAGTCTGTCCTACAACGGAGCTGTACTGTGGAATAGTTTACCCTTGGATATTCGTCAGTCACTCTCTCTTGATGAATTTAAATCTGAAATGAAGAATTATGATTTTGATGGTAGTCTTATGTAAGTTTTATTTTGCTTTTATACACAGCTTCCTTGTAAAGAAGGGGTTTTTTATCATTTCTGTTATTGCAGTAGTTATTAGTGATTTAGTTAGGCAGTTAGACTATTTGAGCTTAATATTGTTAATTAACCCCTGAAGGAAATACCGTGTCTAAATAAAGATTTTACCTTACCTTAGCTTACCTAGAAACTCAAACGTTTTAGTGGTAAAGGATCGTCATTTCCTGGGAGAGGCGCTCCTATAAAAAAAGAAGGGGGTGCTCGTGGGAAATTTTTGAAGAGAACTCCTAAGAGGTACCAAGATCTTCTTTTGAATTGTTTTTTTCCCCTAAGAAGTACCAATTCTAAAACAAGACATTAACTGACACTTTCATAATTTTTTAATAGCGATAAGGACGACAGCTTCAAATACCTTCTACGCTTAAACTTGATTGTCATATCTTTTTCGCTTCAATACCCCAAAGGTACCGCGAAAGCTCTCGCTGTGGACTTTTTGAAGCTAAACACCCTAAGAGGTACCAAAAACCAAGTTTTCAGCCCCTAATAGGTACAACGAGCACCCCCGTTCTTCAATTCACCAAGGAGAAAAACATGAAAGAGGCAACAATGATGGTTAAGATTGTCACACAAGACAAACCTAGTGTGTCACTTTGAATCAAGCGAGCACCATCCTAGTCAACACAAGCCTGTATTTTGTTTGTTCCCAGGTAGTGGAGGAGTTGCTTATGGCTTCATTGGCGCCAACACCAGTCGAGAATCCCGCACAAAGTTCATGTCCTACTACAGAGTTACATGCATGGTTGGAGTGATGTCATCCACGATCGGTAAACAACCACAAACAATATTCACTTGTCTGCCGGTGATGATAACTAAGGCAATAAATAATAATTATACCATCACAAACATAATGTCGTCTTCATGGTATTTTTTTTTTAGCAGTATTGTCTTCATAAATAATTATCATTGGGATGACCAACAGCAGCATACACGAAGCACCACCAATATCGTTATGAAGTCTCATTTTTGTCGTTTCTTCACAGCATCAGCAACTTTTTTACCCAACTTTAGCAAGAATGCTCTTGGTAAAGCAACCGGACTCGATGAGTTCTCTGCTCCAGCAACTCTCACCATCCTCTTCTTGTGTGTCTCGTTAATCCTGGTCAAATTTGCTCTGGACGAAACGAACTGTTCTCCAATCGGTGAGTTTGTTTAATTGTTGTTCATACCACAGACTACGTCAAACTAAGTCAGTTAAACATAAGAAATGTGACAACTAAAACCATAATTAAGTAATGAAGATCTGTTACACAACAAAATATTTTTGAAAACGAGTGTGCCATTATAAAGAGTAAAAACTTTCCTCGTTCACAAGGTAGAACATGTCGCTATGATCCAGAATATACCGCACTTGCTCTGTTAACATCTCCCATCAATCTAGCCACTCCCCTAGAATACACACTCCATCAACCCCTCCCTCTTGAAATCGGGATATACACCAAAGTGTTGTTTGCTTCATATTAGTTTTTGGTTTACTAAAAATGATTGGTTTCAACCATCTCTAGGAAACACACTGACAAGAAAAATGTTATCTCCATGAACTTTATTTTTAAGGGGGCTCCAACGATGACGTGTCAGTGGTACGTTCACTCAAGTCACGTGGTGTACTTCTTGGCCTGATGCTGTATCTATTGAATGGCTATATAACCACGTGGGTTGGCTTTGTGTTACCACTAGTCGCTTACAATCATTTCCAGCTTGAGGTCATGCAGTATGGTTGGTTGATGGTTGGTGTTTCAGGCACAGCCACTGTCGCCTCACTCTCCATGGCGTTGCTCTCTAAAGCCCCGTGTATGGCTAACAATAAAAACGGCGAAAGACTGGTCCTTATAGCCTGTTATATGCTCATGATCACTGCGATAGTTGTCTCCTATCTCGGCGGGCCTTCGGTAAGTGCGTAAAGTTGTAATTAATTCTTGAGCTTGTTGTTACTGAATTCGATTTTTGCTATTTGCGAATCTTATAGTGATCGCAAATTTTAATACTTTATTCTTTACAATGTAGAGCACCTTATCGAATTCTCCCACTGGGAGAATTTGTAAAACATTTTCGAGTAGCTTTCACTCCCTTAACTCGTTATCTCTCGAGAGGTTTTGGTGGGGTTGTCTTGCTAGGTTTAACCAGTCTTTACCATATTTTCTGATCAAAACATGTGATTTCCCTTTTACTTGAGCTCTGTAATACCTCAAATCTGAAGCGTTAACTTTTTAACAACTCTCTTTCTTGTATCATTTAAAGAGCTACCGAGTTACTTCTTTCTGTGAGTAAATGTATGAAAGATTATATATTTGAACTGCGGAGAAAGATGCAAAGATAGATTAATCATCGCAGTCATGTGAAATTAAAGCCTGAAACATTTCTGCCAAAAAAGGGATTTTCACCGTCATTTAGTTTAGTAAAACATCCCATAATTAACATCAGCATCTGCTCTTATAAACAGGGTGACCAAACTGCGTTTTTGTTTGGATCAGTTTATTTTCGCTCCTAATTTCTACTTTTGATTCATTTTATCAGATTCTAAACACTTTGCGAGTTACGGTCAAAGAAGCTCTTTTCATTGGTGGAGTAATCATGGTGTTTTTAACGTATTCTGTGGCTGGAGTAATATTACCTTCACTGACGACCAAATATGTGGCCAAGTCCATGATGGTAAGAAAAGGGACCCTTTGTAAACAACCTGAGATGAACTCGAACATGCCGTAGGTGACTGAACCATAGCATGAGGGAAATTTAGGATCTTCCCAATGCAGTCACTCACGACGAAGACTGTGCGTTGTTTTAATTTAGTTTCATATTTTTTTTCAGAACAGATTAGAAGTGTTAAACTCGGTTTTTGTTGCTTTTCATTCCTGTCCCAGTTTCATTTCTTACACTTTTCCCTACTGAAGCTGGCAAAAACATTTAGTATCTCATAATTGTAAACAGACAAGCAAGCAAACAAACAAATCTGCCAGTAGCGCGAGTTAGCATTTACCGGATCCCAATACATCACTTCCACTCCCTACCACCCCTCCCACAAAATTTCCGCGTTGAGCGTGTTAGGTAGCTCTTAGGATTTTTTTGGTAATTCGAATATTCTTAATAATGTACTTAATAATTACTCATTAATTGTATTTCCTGATTATCATTTTGTTTCATAATTTGTTTTTCTCCTTTAGCCAGTCATAATGCCTTACTGTATCACTGCGATGTCGATCGGAAAAGTGATCGCTCCACTCCTCAGCAAAGCGGAGTTAACAATCCAAGGGTGGGAGCTTCTCTTCATGGGCTCAGCTGGACTAACATTCCTAGGTGTCGCCCTGTTTTTGTTCCTTTACCGTCCACCTGAGCCAGAAGAAACCCAACTCCTTCCAGAAAATAGACGCATATCCTCGCTGGAAGTGACATTAATTGATTCAGTGGAACAAGGGCTCATGAATCCTCAAGATTAAAGACTAAAAAACGTGTCCAGATGTCAACAGATAAGTTAGGATCATCATTATGCGCATAGAAAAAGACTGTCAAGTACCAAGTACATAAATGCTTCCGTTGTATTCTACTGTACGGGAACTGTCCCGTCCCGTCCCTAGAACACGTTTCCTTTCCTGAGCACTATTTAAAATAAAGATGTAAAGACTCTTTTAACGAGGTTCATTCTGCTAGCTATTTAATGAAAGAAGTAGCTTACAAAATGATTAAAAACAATTGATTTATGTGTAATAAGTTTTAATGTACACATCAAATGACCAAGCGAGGTACAGCTGAAAGAATTAAAACAAGAAGAATTGGCGAATCCTGGTTAGAAGGTATGTTAGTAGTGTACGGGGACTGAACTCGTTATTGACTCATGGTCCCCAAATTGGCAATTCAGTTTTTAGTGCTCCATTACATTAATCTGGCTAAAATGAAAGTCTTTGTTTGGTTTCCAAGGAGAAACTTTTGGCGCTCTTGGGGTTCTGTCTCTTACAAGACCCTTTTTGCACAGGCAGAGGTGGTGCTTCATTACCACATTAGAACAGAACTTTTGGCCTCTCGCTCTTAATTGTCAGTACATTTTCTTTCCGGGGCATTTCCTTCAGGCCAAGTTTTTGATTTTAACTCCCAAAGGTTTTCTCAACCTCGGTCCCAGGGTCTCTCATCTCCCCGCCATCCCGGAGAGAGGAAGAGGGAGGACGGGAAGATGAGAGATCCTGGAAACGAGGTTGAGGTTTTCTTTCCGCTGGTCAGTGGAAACCGATATGGATCTTCGTCTATTTGTTTCCTTTCTTTCCTTCTAAATCAGTTAACAGCTTCATTTGAACCCCAGAACCTCTTCATGTTCTTGTCTAATAGTTATGCACATAACAGGAGAGCCCTGAGGGTAGCCGATAGTGTGCCTGTACATTGACATGCAACCTTGGTAGCCACATTTTTTTAAAAGTTATAACTTCTAAGTTTAGAATAATTAAGTCACAGCAGAAACTGACTCTGACAGAAACTGACTGAATGAGAGCGCTTGATAGTGAAATACCTTATTTGGGCACTTAGTCACAAAGGGATATGTATTTGGTCATAAAAATTCACAGCATTCTTGATTTTGATTGCATTTTATTGGTCAACTCTCTTACATACGGTTTTAGTTATAAACATAAATTAATATATAGGTACAATTCCAGGGAATGAATAAGCTCATTGCTAATATGTAATAATGCTTTTGGAACTCACTACAGAAAAGTAAGTTTTCTATTCAAATTCCTAGCTGTACATCCTAACGAAACCTTGCAGGAGGCTTTTATTTTCAAATACAAATTCTAACTTGTAAAGCTCTCATCCCAATTGTTTAGTCTTTACAGTAATTCCAGCGAAATAGAACTCACTTTAGATTTTCTTTCAAACTTTGCCTGTTGGCTGCTTATATCAAGAGAACTTAAAATTTGAAATAAAAAAGGGGGTCCTCATATTCGTTTAGGAGCAGAAGGACCCTCAATAAACCCCATAATTGCTGAAATTATCTTTTTTCAGAAACTTTTATATTTGAACCATTCACCTTAAGTATTAAGAGTGCAGAAAAATAGAGAGAAAATTAAGCGAGAAATATAACAATGGATGTATTGAATAAATGTTAAGGAGCAGTTTGATGTACGTTTCATGATAAGGGCACTCATATTTTAGTTGACAGGGATGCAAAAAAGTTCCAATCATGCAGTGTTCTGGGGCCACGTATATCTTTTACGAGTGCTAGCTATGCTCTCAATTTCCGTGATAACTTTTTACTCTGCAATAGAAATTGGTCCATATTCACTGTATAGAAAGAAGGTGATCTCTGCCTTCAAACTAAATTTAAAAATAGATAGGTCCCGGTGCTCGTTTCCGAGAAAACAACGATGATTTATCTCTCGTAAGCCAAGAGACACTATTTTGTATATGTTGTGTATGTGCACGCGCTCCTGAGCGCCCGCTAATGACGCAAAAATTAATGAGAACGAGATCTCAGCAAGTATCTAGTTGTACTTTATGATGGCTAGTCCCAGTCCTTTCTTAGGCTCCCCGTCATAATGTCCATTAACAAACTTCTCGTACACAGGCCAGCTGCGATGATAGATGACAGCCACGTTGTCTGTCCTGAAGATGTTTTTGCTGGAGATTATGAAAGCGAGTTCTTTCAACAAGTAGTAAACTCCCTCTTGGATGTTTTCGTCTTCTTCGAGCTTAAATAATTCAGAGGATTCTAAAAGAGGAAGATTCATAAACAATCAATGATGGTACATCAACAAGATGTGGATGGAACACTGAAGAAAAAGCCGTACCATCGACGGGATGCTGCAGAGAATGATTGTGGCTTAGCATAATAAATACGAAGAGCTGTTAGTGTCTCTAGCGGTCCTGTTATTACTATAGTTACATGGGAAAGCAAAAATGATTCTATTGCCAAAAAAACAACAACATCAACAG